ATATTTATTCTAATATAATATATATAGTTCATGAATTATTTTCCTCCTAATTGTGCTTAGAATCGCGCGTTAAAAGGCAAGACCTTGTTAATGCATAGCTCGTACATATTTTGACATTTGAGGGTTGTTTATAGGGAGGTGACTGCTAATTAACGAAAAAACATATTTAACAGATTTGGATGAACATTTTTTATAATATCATCTTTGAGTCTCTCCGTTGTTTACAAAAGTTCCTTAAAGACTTTTGGAGGAGGATAGAAGATAACAAAAGTAAACAATTTTAAATGCTATATTGATTTGTGAATGAATCTTGCGGTTAACATAAAAAATAAAACTCTTCTTCTATATGTCACTGAAATATTTCTTTCATGTTCCAGGTGACACAATCAAAACATTACCGCCTGCTTTGACGGAGCTTGACTTAACCTCACACAGATATGATTCTAAACCGTCACATAATCTCAAAGTTGGATCACAGCATTACCATACCATCGGTACGGTTTTAATTTTGATCCGACTTGTTAGTGAGTATTGTGTTTGTGCCTATAACCTACAACTTTTATCTCCTGTTATTGCTCGTAATCTCTCAGAATTGCTACGAACGTTCAACTCACGCTCGTGTCAGTTAGTGCTTGGAGCAGGGGCGCTGCAAACGGCAGGTCTCAAGACAATAACTTCTACCAATCTCGCGCTTGCTTCACGGTCCTTGCAATTGATCATGTGGATGATACCACATCTACGTTCCCATTTTTCTGCATTGACAAGTGATACCCTTAGTAGCTTTGATGTTGTGGAGAAAGATATTGGCCACCATATTCAACAGTTGGAAACTAAAGTATTATCGATCATGAATACGTTGTTGGGAGATCAGTTGAACGAGTGGGATGCTAAACCACCTGTGCCTTCAAAGCAGTTCAGAAATATTTCAAGACATCTGACAAAGTTGCATGAAGCTGTGAGTGCAGTGCTGCCTGAGGAACAGGTGAGATTTAGTTTTTGTGTCTACCTAGTAATTTTAGATTAAATTTGAAACAATCACATACCTCTGTTACTAAATTGTATTCCTGGTGTTTTATCAATCTTTTAGTTATATACATTATACATACATACATTAGTATGGTGTCCTGTATGAGGTGTGACTTCATTCAAATTCATTCAAATAATTCAAGAAAATAATAGTATGATAACCTTAACGCTACAATGTGGTCGAAATGTGATGTGTATAAATTAGAAAGCAATGCGAGAAACATCCTAACTTCTTGTGTTGATTTTTCAGAGATTAAAAGTCCTCCTTTAATTGTACCTGAAGAAACACTTTAATGATTTACAGTTGACCATGACATTTACATTAATTGTAATTTTGTAGGAAGCTATTACAGCTGCTCAAGCACTTTTGAAACAATTGATGATCGAGCAGTTAGCAGATGCAGAGGATGAACTGAATGAACTTACAGGATCTGGAGAAATTGCTCCAAGTATGGATGCTGCTCATTGGTTGAAAGTCTTAAAATTGGCAAGCAGAGCATTGTGTAAGTGAACAAGCGAGAAATCAGTGTTACTTATATTTTAAGTATATAGTTCACTCCATCTGAAATGACCCACCCGGCACTGAAAAGGAGCTAGTATTCCGAAACTGGTCTGTAGGTGGTCATCTCGGCTAAATGAAATTATATTCAGCTTTCAATATATAGAACGTTACCTACAGTATCACTATTTTTTTTATTTGAAGGCCATCGATTTTTGGAATTTTTTCCTGACGTTTTGCTGGCGCGAGTGGTTGGCTACTTCAGAGGTTTCTACATCTTGAGTAATCTCCGATGACTGGATATTACGGCTGCGTAAGGCGTATTTATGTTGTCAGGTAGTTTGGTGAGCTAATTAATACCTGTACCTGGATTAGGTAAATTGCATAAAGCGAGTTAATGTTGATTCAGGTAGTTAGGTGTACTAATAACTGTACCTAGATTAGGTAAATTATCACGGCTGTGAACCTCAACTGAATATGGAATCCTATTCTAAGAAGTTCCAGAATAGCAAACAGCATGACGGAAGGTAGAAAAGGGTCGATGAATGTTATTGACAATTTACCTAGTACAGGTATTAGCACACCAAACTATCTGAGTCAACACGCTCTACGCAATCCACCTAATAAAATGAAATAAGTATGGACTAGATTATAAAGTATTAAAATGGTTCACTAATTACCTCACATATCGGAAGCAGCTAGTTAAATATAATCAAGCGACATCCAGTTCTTTAAATGTAATTTCTGGGGTCCCTCAAGAGTCAGTATTGGGTCCACTGCTATTCTTGCTGTACATAAATGACATTGTGATACATTTTAAAAAGTGTAAGATAAAACTTTTTGCCGACGACACTATGTTGTACTGTTCTGGGAACCTACACAAGTAGTATTCATACACACACTGTTTGGTTTTTTACTTTTAAATAGACACAACTTCAAAATGTGATTGGTTTTATTAAAGAATGAATCAAAATAAATAAGCAATCAAACTTTTACCGTCTGTCGTACAATGCAACTTCATTATACTACTCTCATGTTGCCATAACACTCAAAAAACAAAAATATATTTTTCTGCTTCTTCAGAACTATCGAAATATAACAGAACACAAATTAACTTAAGACAGATTGCATGTAATGATAACAGATGACAGCAGGTGTATTAGATTCAACAATTATGATAAAACATAAGGACAGTTCAACACACTCCACTAGAAATAGAATAGAAAATTTTTATATCAACAAAGAACATATAGGTTGTGACTCGTTTTATAGTTCTGGTCTGATTGCATTTAATAATTTGCCAAGTCATGAAAAAACTTGTGATTCATTAGATTCATTCAAAAAAATGTAGTGAATATATTTTAAGTAATTGTCATCAATAATTCGTCTTGTTTTCTAGTTACTTTTTTTTAAAATGAGACTTGTCTCTAATTTTATATATATTTTTTATTGTTTTGTATTTTATAAGTGACTGACTGTACTATGAAGAGATTTATTCGCTAATAAAGAGTAATAATATATTCAGGTACAGGTATCAGCACACCAAACTACCTGAAGAGTCAACATAAATACGCGTTACGCATCCATAATATCCAGTCATCGGAGATATTAACTCAGGATGTATAAACCTCTGAGGAAGCTAGTCACTCGCGCCAGCGAAACGCCAAAAATTGACTGCCTTCAAACCCGAAAAGTAGTGATACTGAAAACCTCAAACACAAAAGCCCTAAGCATTTTGTCTTGCGGCGACAATTATTCCAAATGGAAAATGGTGCACAAGTGCACCTGAGGCACCTTACCCCTTGCCTCTCATGCAGACCTACGACTTTATAGGTATGGAAAAACAACAATTAACCCGGCTAATGCCTCGCAGAAAGCTGAAGTAAAATAATCAGGCACCTGTGCAACGACTTTGATTTGGAAGATTTGTAGCAAATTATTTCCCACTATGAAAAGCAGAAATTAATTTCATTTGGTCGATACGACCAACCAATAGGACCACAAAAAGGATTTGAAGCTTCAATAACTTCTAATTATTATATGCGAGCGCTTTCGATAGCAAGCTGTGCTATCATTTTCATGATTCTACTCAAACTGAACGTTTTATCTTCTTGTTAGTTCTTTTATACGGTTAGAACGCCTCAGTGCAGATATTTGTCCTCTTCTTTCATCCAGATGTCTCTTTGAATTTGCCTGTACTTGGGTTACATCAAGTAATAAGTAATTGTGTTGGTGTTTCTCTAGGTCCGTTTTTTCTAGGAATGTGTTGTTCTGTGGAGTGTATTGAAAGTTTGGTCTTGTTGTGTTTTGATTTGTATTTGTTCCTTATCAATGCAGTTCCTGAAGATTCATCCTGTTATTAATATAATTTTTGTTCATTTTATTTTTCGTTTATGTTTAAGTATTGTTAATTAAATTTTATATTGTCCTGTAAATGGGTAACTGTTGGACAATAAAGCTATTATTATTATTATAAGTTACAAAAAGAATTTGAAGCTTTCTAACTCCTATTTAATTATATGCGAGCGCTTTCGACAGCTGCTCGTGCTATCATTATCATGGCTCTACTCAAACGTTAAAAGGTAAAACCTCGTTAGTCCTTAGTTCGTACAAGTTTCTATTTCTGAGGGATGTCGTTTGAAGGGGTGTGACAGCTGGTTAACGGAAAAACATATTTGTATTTTATGACATTGAACATATATCTCTCAGTCTCTGAAATAATCCAAACTTTACTTTGGTACAAAAATGACCATATAGTACGATAACCAATTTCATGAATAACGTTGACTAACATTGAAATTTTTTTTGTTTCCCCAGGTAAACTTATTGATAGAGTGAAAGCCGTTCACGATGTTATCAAAGAAACCACTGCGATTAGTGCGGGACTTCATCCTCCCAATCCAGATTTGACATCTAGAACTGATAATTTCCTGTCATTAGAAGACTACAATAGAGTAGAGATAAAACTCAAAGATCTCTTGACTTCAGTATGCGACTATTGCAATGAACGGCTAGCTTCATTAGTGAGTACACAATCTGACAAGCAATCCGTGAATGCCTCCCAAGTAACTGAACTATCAAATATCGTGGAAAGTTTCACAGAATCATGTGAAAATGTATGTGGAAGGCAGAGTGCAGCTCTAAAAGCAGCATTCAAAATTCAAGCTGGTAATTATGTTCACAAGTTTCACAGTCAACGAAAGAACAAATTGCAGTTGCTGTTGGATGCCGAGAGGTGGAAAGTAGTTGATGTGCCTGCTGAGATTCAAATTCTAGTCGATACTTTAGCTTTAGGTGAGTTCTGTATATATATGTATATTTTGAAGGATCAATTGGTTTACAATTTGAGGTCAATACCAGTCAATTTTTTTTATTCCTGATTGAATATAGAGAGCCGAAACGAGGCAGAACATTAGCTTCTAGAGATTGTATGACGGAAATATTAGAAGTTTTAGGTACCAACACATTGTGGTACATAAGGAGAATAAGAATTTGTTTCTTTCGACTGATTATCAATGAAAAAATAATAATTTATTTGAAAATTTATTGCCAAAAAAATTATCCTATCAAATTTGTCTATTTCTAGTCATGTGTGTCAAAATAACCAATGAAACCATCATTACACTGATAACTACCCATGGATAGTTTTCACGGGTAGTTATCACTTATGTCATGACATTACACGTAACATCCCTCCGCCTTCGGCGTCGGGATGTTACCAAATAACGTGCTTTCGAAAACTGTGATAAAATTATTTCGTTAGTTATCAATGTCCTTGGGATATTATAGCTGATAATCATCAAATTATCGAAACTCTCAGAAAAACTTTATGTTAATATTATATAAATATTACCATTAAAAAAAATGCTGAAAAAATACGGTCTGTCCCAATATTCTGATAGTTCAATGAAAGTTCCAATGTCAAACATTTTCAATATGTTTGCAAATAAAGAAGATACAGTAAAGAATAGAATTTTTAAATTTTCGGTTTTTCTCCATAGTAGTCAACTTTACCACAATTCTACCTGTTCTCTATCTCACATCGTTTATGAGATACCCATGCAAATACTCGAATTTGAGTAGAAGCGTCCCACTAGGGAGTAGGCAAGTTGAGGTACTTGCAAAGACCAGTGATGATACCTAAGGAGTAGGTAGATTGAGACCAAGAAGTTGTAATAAAATATATGATGGAATTGGCCGACACATGATGAAAATTCATATCTTATTCAAGACTTCATTGCCAGATTTTTACTGGAAAGTTTACAAAACTGCAACACGTGTTTCACTATACAATAGATTCCTCAAGTGTTTTCATACTCAGTATAAAAACTAATTTCAAGGTACATTGCCTGTGTTCTACAGAAGAATGGTTGATAAATGAACTCAGTCAGTCAGTATAGAAAATTATAATTTATTATCTGGTTATTCTGAAGAGTAATTTCTGCATGGATGGGTTGCTATCTTTGTCCATGATTATGTAAAAATTCATATTATAATCTGCAGACCTCCATTAGGCTGTTTCAAAATTTCTGTTACAATCTGTACGTTTACTAGAAAATAAATTTCAAACAGCAAGTTAATGTTCTGGCGTACATATGTTCTATCGCAATCGGAGCATGAAATTTCATATATACTCTGGGATTCATTGACAATTTAGTCCTTGGGGGAACGGAGGAATGTGGTTTGTTGCTGGATGATGGTGGGAGTTTGCGTGGAGGTATCTGTTTGTTGTTGGTTTCCTGTAGACCGTGTGGGTGAAACAGTTATTGGATTTTGTGATGAGGACATCTAGGAATGGAAGGGAGTTATTGGTTTCAATTTCCAATGTGAATTTTATATTTGGGTGAAAACTCGTTGGGATGATCAAGGAAATCATGGAGAGTTTCGGAGCCCTGGGGCCATATGACGAAAACGTTATCTACGTACCTGAACCAGCAAGAGGATTTGTGGTCGAACGTGTCAATAGCTTTGGTTTCGAAGTCTCCCATAAAAAGATTTGCAAGGACTGGTGAAAGAGGAGAATCCATGGGGGCGCCCTTTACTTACTTGTAGAAGGTACCTTGGAAGAGGAAGTATGTGTTGGACATACAGTGATTGATGAGGATGAGGGTGCCTTTGGAAATTTGGTGTTTCGTTTCAAGAATGTTCAACATCCCAGAATGATATAGAAAACCTATGTCTAGTAATAGATTTATCAATTATTGTTCTTATTATTCGAATAAAATGAAGATCAATTTGATAAAAACATTAAAAAACTAATTATTAGAATTACTCACCCCAGTTTACAAAACAAAAGTTTGTCTGATTAGAGTAAAATTCTGATCCAAAATTCTTATCCTAAATTTTTAGTGAATAGACTAATTTTCTGTGAAAGAACAGTTTCTCCAACTTCCCAAAATAGACTTGATAAGTACAGCCCTTTATTTATGAATCATTACCTTATATTCAAGAACTTACAGCAAAATTGATTTATATATTCCGAAACAATCACATTATAATTTCCGTAAGAAATGTCACAACTATTTCATGTATGAATTGTTCCAAAACATACATTGGAAGNATTATCTAATTTCTGGGGTTTCTCAAAAACTTACCTCTAAAGAGGTTAGGGAACAGTTTATCTATTAAAAAACCGGGCGCCTTGTGGTTTGATTAGGCAAAAAAACTGAAATTTCCAGAGCTAATTTACAACATAGCCAGAATATTATTTCCACCCATATCAGGAAGGGCAATCATCAACTTCAACAGGTAGAAGAATTCAAATCCAAAAACTGTCCCTCCACAACCACTTTAGCACATCTCCCTTCGCAGGAAAGATCTCGAACTGAAACCTTCTTGAAAAGAATCGTGCTTGGTTTAACCAATCGAATTGAAAAAACAATCTATTCAACAGGAAGAAAACGGGCGACGTCGAAACGATGTCAACTCGTACAATGGAATGAAGTCGAAAGAAAATTTGATAATAGATTTAATTGAATCTGAAATGACAATTGATTTGATTATAATGAAGACTTCGTAAATATAAAGGATAATGTATTCAAAAAAAACACTTTATTGTGAGATTTTCGCTAAACAGTTTAACAAAAACGCAACACTTGTTTCCACCATACAATGGCTTCTTCGGGCGTGTCTCTTTAGCCATTGTATGGCGACACCTGTGTTGCGTTTTTGTAAAGCTGTTTAGTGAAAATCTCACAGTAAGTATTTTTTTGAATATGTTAGTTATGGGTTTGTATCAAGTATCGGCCAATTCCACCATATATGCAGGGCTATTCAAATTCGTTTCTGTACATGGGGATCTCGTAAACGATAAGAGATAGAGTGTCGGTTAAATTGTGGCAAAGTTGCGTATTTTAGAGACCTATTCAATGATGTAAAAAAAATTGAATATGCTCTTTTGATTCTGGAGATATACAGGAAAAACCAAAATATCCCAATATTTTTGCCTATATCTTCTTTATTTGCAGACATATTGAAAATCTGTTCACATTTTGCTATTGTCACTTGATGTGGGCTATCGGAATATGTTCATGAATTTTTTATACAGGGTGTCATTTGACTTGGTCCACCCCCATCTTTGAATTTTTAAATACGGACCAGTATTTTTTGTTGTATTTTTTATATGACGTTCACTTCATACTGAGAAGTCAAATTAAATTTTATATTTCGGGGTGTTTGAGTAATATTTGATTATAATTGTGTGAATTATTCCCTTTTGAATTACAGACCTGGACATTGGTTGACTGAGTTGAATAAAAACACAATACCAACTTTCAGGTCTCCCTATGTACTGTAGAGTTTTTCGAGAGTTTTTTTTTCATTTTTAGGTACGTATTCATTTTTTTTTATTGCTCTGAGCGTTTTCTACAATGAACTTCGAGTAGGAAAACCTTTAATGATTATCTGAAACATATCTACATCAAAAATATATTATATGTGTTTTAATAAGCAGAAA